AAGCTTTAGCAGCATCTCTCTAGAGGGGACTGGGATACAGACGCCCTCCATCCCTGCTTCTGCCAGCATGCTAGCCGCCCTCGCGGGCACTACAAGGAAAAGAGGGGTAAGCAGACCGGAAGGAGCATGTGACTCTGTCATTACTCCCAGATGATGTCCTTCACACAGAAGGACTGTGCTGATTTCTTTGTCAGCTTTTCGTCACTGAGACAATGTAGAAGCTTTGGTTTGGTTCAGGGTCACAGAGGGTTCAGACCCCGGTCACATGTCTCCTGTTGCTTTGGGGCTGCAGAAGGCAGAGCATCATGGCAGAGAGCATGAAGCAGAGCAAACCGCATGGTGTGGTCAGGAAGTGAAGAGAGAAAAGAAGGAACTGGGGTCCCAATATCTACTCCAAAGGCACACTCCAGATAACCGTTCTTCCTCGAGGCCCATCCCTTAAAGGTACCACTGCCTCCTAATATCAGCCCAGGTTGGTGGCCGAGCCTTTAGCACATAACCCAGGAGAGGCATTTACGATCCAAGCCACAGCAGACAAGCCACCAAAAACAAACAAAAGGACTGATTACTAAATACAGATTTTACAAATCAGTTACATAGTCTTTCAAGACACAAAAGGCAAATGAAATTATTTTTCTTTATTATTGTTTTTTGTTTTGCTTTATTCTTTGAGACAGGGTCTCACGTTGCCCAGGCCAGCTTGGAACTCACTATATAGTAGAGGATAGCCTTGTCTCCTGCCTCTACTTCCCAAGATCTGGGATTACTGGTGTGTGTCGCCAGGATGGGTGTCTTAAGGTTTCTATCACTGCAAGGAAACACTGTGACCAAAAAGCAAATTGGGGAGAAAAGAGTTTATTCAGTTTACACTTCCATGTTGCTATTCATCACTGAAGACAGTGAGGACAGGAACTCAAGCAGGGCAGGATCCTGGAGGCCGGAGCTGACGGAGAGGCCATGGAGGGTGCTGCTTACTGGCCCAATAAACCCCTTTCTCCCCAAGTTGCTTTTGGCCATGACATTTCATCCCAGCTGCAGAAAAGCATCTAAGACCTTATCACACCTAAGAATCCAAAGAATTCTTTAATATGGTTGACCATGCTTTCATAGTTTTCAAGTTCTTGTTGTTGTACGGTTGTAATTGTTTGAGTTGATTATAATTAGCTGATATGGCCTTCACGTGCCATTTAAATGACAGGTTCCATTCTATTTCTTTCCTTCCCCTCTTTTAGTCTATACTCAGAAAGTTGGGTCACTGTGTCCTGCCGAGTCTCCCGTGGTGTTGATTTTGCTAACCATGTCCTCCTGTTGTGGTTTCTTGTGTCCCGGCTTTCCTGTTTCCTGTTACTCGCTCCTTGGGTCTAGGGACTTAATCAGGCTCAGGTTTCATCCTTCCTTTTGGCAAGGCCAGTTCTGTGTCTCTCAGGACACAGAGTGTTCTTGTCTCTTGCCCATGTCAGTAGCTAAAGATCCCTCAGGAGTGGAGCTGGCAAAATCACGGTACTGCATGGAATTCTATCAAGCCTCCCTCAATTACTAGTTTTGTTGTTGTTGTTTTGGTTTTTCAAGACGGGGTTTCTCTGTGTAGCCCTAGGTGCCCTGGAACTCAATCTGTAGACCAGGCTGGCCTTGAACTCACAGAGATCTGCATGTCTTTGCCACCCTAGTGCTGGGATCAGAGGCGTGTGCCACCATCCAGCTTCCTCAATTACTAGTTGGGAAACTCCAACAAAGAGGACTATTCCCCATGTGCTACTTTTAATTATCCAGTGTGCAGTTTACATAGGAAGGCAGGATAATTGGTCAGTCATTCCCTTTATGCATCAGTTTTCAATGAGCTGGTTTCCCAGCAGTCCCCTACAGCGATCTAATTCTTTTCTTTCGTTCTTTTTAAATTTTTAATTATGGAAACAAAAATATACCTAAAATCGAAGCTTCTGGAAAAAAAAAAACATTTGTTCTTCCCTGTCTTGTATAGTCCCTCAAACTTGACCTTGGCCTCCCTCCTGGCCTTGCATGTCAGAGCTGGGTCTCTAAAGATGTCCTTCTTGACAACAGTTTTGTCCAAAGGGATAGCCACAGAGTACTCTGTGGGCACGAGGTGACTGTGGTTGTAAACTTTCACAAAGGAAGTCCTGTTGGCATTTTTCTTCTCACCCTCGGCAGCTGTCATTTTGGGGGGATAGCAGTCAACTCCAGCCACCAGAACATGACTACAAGGGAGATGTGCCATCATCATCAGTGTTCTTCACAATGAAGACTTTGTGTCCAGAGTAGCGTCCAGCCAGGACCAGCGCCGTTTCCCCCGGTTTCATGAACTTGCCCGCTTCGACAGCAAGCAGCCTGTACCGAGCAAAAAGGAAAGAGGGATGCTTCCGCTCGTAATCTGATCTTTGTTCTGTTTCGAGACAGAGTTTCTGTGTGTAGCTCTGGCTGTCCTGGAACTCACTCTAATTTTTAAAGTCTCATTACTAATTATTAACTTGTGGACTTAAATATGGGAAAGTATAATTTTAAGATAATATATGATTTCATTTCAATTAAAGAAAAATAGACATGGGTAGATATAATCTCTATAACCTGGGTATAGTGTTCACAGATAGGAGAAACCATTATCATAAAGGTGACAGTCCCAAACAGGGTGTGTGACACTTGGGACCAGCCTGGGTGACCTAGCAAGATTCTTTCTGGAAAAAAGGAAAAGAGATGACAACCGTCCCTAAATTAATCTATCCATTCAAGGCAATTGTAAAAGTTCCATCTGATGGGCTAACACATGCCTGCAACCCTGCACTGGGAAAGTTGAGGCAGGGAGACTAAGGTCTGGGCAAGCCTGGGCTACATAGTGAGACCCTGTCTCTGAAACCAAACCAAAGTTGATTTTATTCCCAGGACACCACTCTCATGAAAGGCTCAGTGTTCCCTCAAGAGTGGGCTAATTGTTGTCAAATTAGGCTTCCCTGGCTTGCTCTCTTGATGCATGATACTGCTGGCTCTTCCACGTGTCCCTACTTCTTTTCTTTCATGAAGCTGTGATTCTCACATGACCAAATACTTCATTTCTTCATTGGGAAAACGTGAATCTAATATGTGACGCTACTCAGCTCTCACAAGGCTAACTGGGAAGTCCGTGGGTAATGAGTACGCAAGATCTTATTCTACGCTCTGCAGAGTTATGCTCTCAGGTGATTTTACTAAGGGGAAGACGTCCCCCTTCACTGGCTCACATGCCCCGATCTCAAAAGGTGGGGTTAACTGCCAGGTTAAGCCTCCGCTTCTGGACAGTACAATTTCGCCCTCTGGTGGTCTTCTCAATCCCTGCACCCAAGTTGGAAAAAAATTGTTCAGGGCAGAACGTGCCTTCAATGAGTTTCCCCCACTCTCCACCCCCCACCCCGAGCCACCATGTTGAAGAAATAAATCTTCACAGGGGTCCTCTTGTCATGGAGATACCATAGATACTGTAATCATCTCCTACTCCCCGCTAATGTCACTTATACAAAGTAAAAGAAATTCTCAGGTGCGTTCCTCAGCCGCCACACTGTACACTAACAGTCCTTTTCCCACGCCCGGAGGGAGGTCCATGTGTGAGAGTCATTATCACGTGAATGCATGAGAAAGGAAAAGGGGAACCCGAGGTACCAAGAAGCCCTGGGTGTAGGGGAGCACGACCAACTGAACAGTGGGTAATGCCTGACCATGGTATTTGAAGGTTGTCAGGGGAATGTGCATAAACCTCCCTCATAAAGATGACACTGTTTAAAACAATTTGCTTTCTACTGTTATAAGCACATTGGTGTTTTTCTTTTCTTTTCTTTTTTTTTTTTTGTTGTTGTTTTGTTTTGTTTTTCAAGACAGGGTTTCTCTGCAAATCCTTGTCTGTCCTGGAATTAGCTTTGTAGACCAGGCTGGCCTTGAACTCACACAGCCTGCCTCTACCTCCCTAATGCTGGGATCAAAGGTGTGCGCCACCACAGCCCAGCAGAGGGGAGCTTCACTCATGTTTTTTTATTTATTTTATGTGTATCAATGTTTCGCCTGCATGTGTATATGTGCACCACATGTGTGCCCGGTGCTCTAGGAAGTCAGATCCCCGGGGATTGGAGCTAAAGATAGTTGTGAGCCACCATGTGGGTGCTTGGGAATCGAACCTGGGTCTTCTAGAAAAGCAGCTAATGCTTTTACTCTCTGAGCCATCTCTCCAGCCCCCCACACGAGGGTTTTAAGAAGAAAATTGAAACATACATAAATATTCTACTCTAACATAATATTCCTTGTCTATTTTCTCTTCCAATCCTTAGCCATCTAGATTTTTGTGACTGTTGTTTGATTTTTGAGACGGGGTCTGAATATTAACCTCGGCTAGCCTGGAAGGTGAGGTGATCCTTCCGCCTCCTCCAGACTTTAATCATATCACTTTTCCTATAGTCTCTGGCTCTTCTTGTTTTTATACCATAAATCCTTTCCATACTTTGAGTATTTCTCTTTTTAGCCAGAATTTTCTTTCTATCTTTCTTTCCTTTCCTACTCATTAACCTTTTTAGTGGTCCTGAGGCTTGCACACAAGAAACAAGCTCTCCCTCTGAACTACATAAACCTTCCCTATAGGTTTAAGTTCCACAGTCACGGATACGGCGCTTCCCAAGTCTTCTTTGTTGAATCCTCTCTAATCTACATTACCAACAAATAAAACAAGCAAGTTGTTACAAAAGCTTATTTGTTCTTTTGAATTGTAACCTTGTGATAAATACCCAGGTGAGAGTCCTGATCAAGGCTAAAACAGTTTTCTGGTTCTAGACACGGACTGTCCTACCACTTTCCTGAAGGATATTTTAGTCATTTTAATGTCACTTGCCACAGGCCGGCACTGGTCCCTCTACAGGATTATTGCTCTCATCAACACTGCTCACGACGCACCAGTAGACATTTCACTTGCCCGATTTCCTCCTGGGAAAACTGCCTGGGTCGTTTGCTGATGGAAGATACTCTTATTTTCACAGACCCAGAGCCAAGGAACGTGACCCTTGACCCCCTCAGGACTCCTGCGGCTGAGCACCATCAGACCTCCGAGGCTGACACCGTGAAAAGCACGTAAGTGTGCAGCTTGTAGCCGTGATGGCTTCTCTGCATCCATCAGGGGTTTGTTTTCATTAATTTACTTTCTGGGTGTTTGTTTGTTTGTTTGTTTGTTTCTGAGATTCATGCGATAACATGCTGGCAGCTGGGATTAAAAGCAGCAGCCCCTGGGTAGGTTACACATTGATGAGTGAGCTACTTAATCCAAGTACTCCAGGTTAGGTGGGGAAGCGTGAACCTGAGCCACCTGAAGCAGCTTTCTGGTGTGTCTGTGCACCTGACGTTTACAGAGACCCTGGAAGGCTGGGGACAATCAGTTCATCCTGGTTCCTCCAGGTTCGTTAACTCTGGGCAGAGTGAAGATGGCCGGCCACCTTCATGGCTTCTTCTCATCCCTGCCAACACAGGAACACCTTCCTATGTGCTTACTATGAGCTCACTGGCCAGCAGCCCAGGCAGCCTGGTCCAGACCTTCGCCTCAGTCTCCTTAGGCTGTGGGCTCTGCTGTAGACTTCTCTGCTACCAGCTGGAACTAACCTGATTGTGGGTTCCATGAGCCTGGGGTGAATAGAGATCAGCAGTATAAACTCTTGGGCCAAAAAAGTTGTGTGATGAACCAGAAGCAACAGAAAGAAGCCTCTATGATTGAGGAAGTCACTAAAGACTTTTTGTGTTGTTTTGTCTTTATCCCTTTTCCCACAACATATTTTAAACAGGTTATTACAACTCCCCTCCCCTAGCCAAAACCAATGAAATAATCAAAGAGAATTCTTTTTTTCATCAAGAGGACAGTTTTAAAAAAGCATAGAACACTCCACAAAATCCGTTACAGTTATTGTGACCAAAATTGGGATTTAGCACAGATTCCTAAATGTGGAAGGAAAAAACAGCCATCCAGTCAGGCCTGAGGTGCTCCTGTGCAGCTGCCTTGCTCCTTGGGGAAACCGAGGTTTTCCTAGCACCGTCCTAAAGCAGACTTCTGTGAGTTTTTATAGAGTGTCACTGAAGGACTTAAAGACTCGTGTATTTACAGGAAATTCCATTTACCTCATTCGACAAATATTTCTCAGGTTTCCACAGTAAGGCCCTGGGCTAGCACACCACAGTAAATATATCGATTTACCTGAAAAGAAAAAAGACCCAGACGAGACCCAGCACCCAGCGGGCACACGGCCCTGCGGCTGCTGTTCTTGCCACCCGCAGGCATAAGTCAGCGGCGCCCACCACTCCAGAACACTCCAGACTGGGCACACAATGACCTCGTAGTGGCTGAATCCAGTTAAGAATAAAACTCAGAGAAGCAAAGGAATGAAGGGGACAATTGCGTGTTTTTGAGGTCATCTTTCTTAAAGGCCATTTTCCTCTCCCAGCTAAGCCTTTGAGAGAAGACATTACAGTTGTGTAATTCTATCCATGAGGGTGATCCACTGCTACCTGTCACCCCACTGATGGATCACCAGGGTTGATGCAGCCAATCTGACCGGCTGGGTGTGTGTCTCCTTCCTCCCTCACTGCTCCACAGGTGTCCCTCCCAAAGCTGCTGGCCCCTCTGAAGAGGACACACTTCCCTAGAGGCGGGCCTGTCTTTCTTTGGCCCAGGGTCCCCTTAGTTGTGGTTTCCTGACAGAACCTCCAAACCAGCCCTCAGTTAAAGGTGTAAATATGCAATGAAAAGCCGCCAACTGTTTCTCCAGTTGTCTGTTTTAGGGCTTACCTGAAGGAAACCCCAAAAGTGAAGAGCACCCTTCCTAATCTCGCTTAAGCAGGAACGTGAGGAGAAAGTTGCCTGAGTGTGTCAGATATCCCCACAGCCGATCACAGTTGTTCTGTGACATCTGCTCACTTCCTCTCTTCCCTCCCATTTAAATTTCTGGCCAATGGCCGGGCGGTGGTGGCGCACGCCTTTAATCCCAGCACTTGGGAGGCAGAGCCAGGCGGATCTCTGTGAGTTCGAGGCCAGCCTGGTCTCCAAAGCGAGTTCCAGGAAAGGCGCAAAGCTACACAGAGAAACCCTGTCTCGAAAAAAAAAAAAAAAAAAAATTTCTGGCCATTAAATTGGTCTGCTGGCTTGCTCTTTCCAAAGGGACAGAGATTATGATGTGTACCGCCTGCACAGAGGACTGCTAGAACGTGAGCCTGCATCCCCAGAGAAGCTGGGTTCTGAGACTGCATCTCTTCCTCCAAGGAAAAAAAATAAGAAAATGGAAGCAAAATTGTCTAACCAGCAATCCTCAGCTGCCATCAGTCACGTGAGTGTGAGAATGAAGAATCTGGTCCGGAAACCCTGCCTGGACCCCTGCAAGGCTCCGTGTAGACTTCTGAAGGTTGCTTCATAGATACAGCACCTCACTAAAGGGGCAGTAGGGGCCGAGGTCCAGTGACGTCTGCTCACCAGGCCCTGCACCCCGCACTAGGCTGCATCTTCCTGAAGGACAAGGGCCCCATTGCCAAACCCTACAAAGTGGATGACCATGGCCCCACTCTGCCAACCTCTTTTAGAGGGAACCTCCATGTTGTCACCATCCACAGGGGAAGGGAAAGGCTGGCAAGGTTCTTGCTACCTGCCTGGGGTCTTCTCAAAGGCAGCACACGATGTAGCCGTGAATATAAAGCCGGCTCTGAGTCCAGTCCGTTGGTCAACAGTGGCCGCACTAACAAACACGAAAATTGTTTCCTTTGCTTCAAGCTCTGCAGACCATGACATAACATGGAAAAAGAAGGGCAGGCCATAAAGGGCTTTTCTTTCTCTTCCTCCTTTGAAATTCTTCCTAATTATTTGAAATAAAAGGCGCCCCCCCCCCCCCCCCGGCTCCATACTCTGACGCTGGCCATCTGCTTCATCCAGAACTCAGATGCGTCCATCCTCAGCCCCAGCCCCCTGTTCTCTCAGAGTAATCTTCATTTGATGAACTCTTCTGTTCCCTCTATGTTCACGGTCCTCTTCCTAAATTTCTTCCTGTAGGGAAGGGATTTGGTTGACAAGTCTGAGAGGAAGAAGAAAACCAAGATAGACAAGGCCAGAGCCCCCAGAACAGAGCGAGAAGGAAGGGCCCTGGGGCAAGCAGAGGCTGCGGGAGGTAAGGAAGTATGTCTGTGAGGAAACAGCTCAGAAGACTTCCAACAGGCGAGGAGGTGATACGGACAATGGACTTGGCTCCTGCAGGGCGAGCTTCGTTTGACTACCTAGCCAAGCTGGCTTTGCAGTCTGAGTTCATAACCGTGTCTCAGTGCGCATGGGCAGAGGAAATCACGACCTGTGATGGCCGTGAGAGGGGATGATAATACCAGCACTCTGCCAATGTTGAACTGAGTGCCACCATGCTGTTTGTGTACCCGAGGCTGAGAGAGTTTGGGTGGGTGGCACCAGAGGACAAGTGGTTTGTTTGTCCTTTCCTACTTGAGCGAGCCCCAACACACATTATTACTGCTGCCACTAGGAGCTAATAACTACAGGCTGAGATCTGTAATCGGAAAAGCTGAAATGCAAGATGTCCCCAAGTCTGAAACCTTCTGAACATCAACAAGATGCCACAGGTAGATTCTACACCTGACCTCACTGAAAATACTGTATAAGGCTCACAAGCACTCTGTTCAGGTCTTGCAGTGTTTTTGGCCTATGGTTTTATTTTGATTCTGAATAAAAACCCCTTGCTACTTTAAGAAAAACATAAAACCACCTTCAAACTAAGAGTCAAAAGTGTATATGAAGCATTAACAACTTATATACTTAGGCTAGGATCCCATGGCCAGGACTTTATATTATACACATTAAATGTAAATATTCTAAAACCAGAAAGTATCCCCAATCTGAAATGCATCTGGTCCTAAACATCTCAGGAAAGGGATGCCCAGCCTAGGCATCCCGAGAGCACGTAGGAAGAGGAGGATGAATGAGGGTCTGAGTGGCTGTCCTACCATCACACTTCCCAGTGTCCTTCTTTGCCTCACAAGACCTCAGATGCTCCTGAACTCCCTTTAGCCCAAAATTCACACCTACCCGCTTTCGCTCCCAAGATTTGAAGACCTTTTTAAACAAGTCGCATTTTGTTGCAAGGACAACACCGGCTACACCCCTGGAGACAGATCTGGTTTTGAAGTTTGATTTTTAAACTCTTGCTGCATGTACATTTGTCTAGTCCTTGGCATTGCCAGGAATAGGAAAAAACAAATGCCCTTGACCCTTGGAGTGTTAAACTTCCAGCACATTAGAGCTGTGACCTTGGGCAGGACCTGTCAGATGTGCCAAGATTCTCCCCAGGAATCTTGCCCCATGCTCACCAGGGTGAGATGGAACCTTCCTTTGCTTCCAGCCTTGGGGATTGAACCTAGGGCCCTACATAATAAGCACAAGCTCTACCACTTAGCTGTATCTGCAGCCAGAAACGCAACCTTTCCGTAGTGATACTGCTGTGCGGTTACATCTTTATTGATCTAAATATAATGTTGGGCTGCTCTTCTCAAATCATTATTACTGATGGTAAAACGGCGCTGGTTGGTGGCGCTGGTTACCAGCGGAAAAGTCACGGGCCATGGCCACAACTACCAGAGTTATAAAGAGCTTTATTAGAAAGAAAAATGTGATAGGAGGGAGGAGAGCCAGGCCTGGACAGAAAGGAAGATGGTGGGGAGCAGAGAGAGAACACAGAGAGAGAGTGTGGGGGTCTGCGTCTGGCTTTTTAAGGCGGGGATTGCATGACCACATGGCGGGTACATAGTTGCCAGTGCCCGCTGATGATGTAAGACGTAAGACACAGGACCCCAAGCTGTGCATGTACAGAAGCCTAACATTCCAGACTTTTTGCTTATTATAAAAAAGCGAGTAAATAGGAATAGGGGTGTCGTTTCTCCTGAAAAAACTGCTTCCAGCTGACTTGGTGAGCATCGGTTGGCTTTTGAGGGGGGGGCGGGTAAGGAAGGGAGCCTTCTGAGGTAGACAGGTGTTCTGGGATGATGGACTGTCCTGCTGCCCTGGAGCTGTCCATCCCTCTTGGATTGGCAATTTTGTTCTCAGGCATTTTATCTCTCTCCCCGGTACACCTTAAATGCCACAGATGACACTTTCACCTGTGGGGTCAGGAGCCTTGCTCTCCAGATGCTTAAGTTTTAGTCCTATGTGTGTGTGGAGGGGGGGGGGGCTGGGAAACAAGAGACGGATTTTACTCCATGTCTTGAATTTTTTTGATGTCTGCTGGCTTGAGGACAGCTTTTGGAAATTACAATGCAGACTTTATTCACCCAGATTCTGGGGATAAATTTGGGAATATGCACACCACTTTATCCCACCAAATGCTTAATCTTAAAAGCTACTAAAGAGCCAGGTGTGGCAGCACATGCCTCTAATTCCAGCACCCTAGAGGCAGAGGGATAAGGATCTCTGTGAGTTTGACACCAGTCTGGTCTATACAGTGAGTTCCAAGACAGCCAGAGCTATGCGGTGAAACCGTCTCAGAAAAAAAAAAAAAAAAGTTACTAAAGAGAAGGAATGGAGGTCACATTTCTTCTACTCAGCTACCTCTCTCCCCCACTGTTTCCTCCAGGGAAGTCAAAGGATTCAAAAACTGAAAAGAAATCAGGGCTAATTCCAAAAGAAAAGAAACCGGGCACCAAAATGAAGAGGGCACCCAGACAAAGGGACGTGGAGGCGGCAGCAGAGCTGAGTGAGCCCGAAGTCAGCAACGCCAAGGAAGCAGGTGGCACCCCAGAGAGAGGGCTCCTCCGCTCACATGCTGCCACTGAGGAGCCTTGGCTTTCTCCTGAATATGATGCTCTGGAGAGCCAGGTTTCTATAGATGGAAGATTATCACCCACACAGGCCATGGGTGCCACTACCAACATGGAATCTGAGGAAGAGAGAAGCCCCGAAGACTCTTCCAAGGTATGGGCAGGTGTTCTCTCCTCTTGGCCAGAGGAAGCTCTGTCCTCCACGTGGCAGAATGCAGATGTGAGGGAAATGACCCTAAATAAGCTGCACTTTCTGAAACAGAATGCAGATGTGAGGGAAATGACCCTAAATAAGCTGCACTTTCTGAAACAGCTCTATTACGTGATGATATATTTTTTTTCTTCTTTTTGAGACAGGGTTTCTCTGTGTAGCTCTGGCTGTCCTGGAACTCATTCTGTAGACCAGGCTGGCCTCGAACTCACAGAGATCCGCCTGCCTCTGCTTCCGAGTGCTGGGATTAAAGGCACGGGCCACCATCACCCTTCTAAAACAACCTCTTACCAGAACCATGCCTTCCAGCCCCAGCTTCAAGTTCCAAGTTTTTTAAACTCCAGGAGCCCACCACCACACCCGAGATTGTCATTTGTTGGACCAAGTGGAGCCCTGTCATATTTTAAAGATCCTTAGGCAGTTCTGAAGTGCAGCTAGGGCTGAAAGACCAGAACTTCCAACACACCAGACAGAATGATGGCACTTTTGTTATCACAGTGAGTACTGGACATAGTCCATGAGGAAGACCGTATCAGGAAAGCCGTGCACCGCAATCCCAAAGCAAGTGAAAGACTTGAATGTAGGTCATTCCAGCCCCACAGCCAGCCGGGCAGAGGCAGTTTATGCCACTGTGTGGTAGTGTGGAGTCAGCTTTAGGAGTCTGTCCCTGATTAGAGAAAACCCTATCTGGGCTGCCACTGGCTCAATCCCTTGCATGGCTAACACTCTGGTTTCTTAGGCCCTCCTGGATAAGAGGCAGCAGGAGAAGGCTTCTCGAGACAGAATTCGCTTAGAGAGGGCAGAGATGAGGTGGCTGGAGGTGGAGCGGAGGAGAAGGGAGCAGGAAGAGCTGACCCGGCTCCATAAGGAGCAGCTGGAGAGAGCGGAGAAGATGAAGGAGGAGCTGGAACTGGAGCAGCAGAGGCGCATTGAGGAGATCCGGTGGGCCAGCAGCCCCGAGACCCAAGGCGGGGCAAACCTTCCCCAGGGGCATAGCTCAGTGCTAAGGCTCATGCCCTGACACGAAATCACAGGAACAACCTGGACCAGAGATAAGATACTGTCTTGACCATATGGGTTACCCAAGATAGATGCTCACGGGGAATTCATAGGAAGGCGTTGAAATTCAGTCCCGCATTTATCAAACTCCTGCCGTTCTCTGAACTGTACTAAGTAGGCTCTTCCACGGGTCTTCGATCGAACTTAATCTTCTCAACCCTAAGAGGCAAGAATTTCAAGATCCTACTTTAAGAATAGAAAATAGGGCTGGAGAGATGGCTCTGAGGTTAAGAGCCCTGGTTGCTCTTCCAGAGGTCCTGAGTTCAATTCCCAGCACCCACATGGTGGCTCACATCCATCTGTAACGTGATCTGGTGCCCTCTTCTGGCGTGCAGGCAGAACACTGTGTACATAATAAAGAAATAAATCTTAAAAGAATAGAAAAATAAGGGGGCTGAAGAGATGGCCCAGTGGTTAACAGCACTGGCTGCTCCTCTTGAGGACCCGGGTTCAATTCCCAGCACCCACATGGCAGCTCACAACTGTCTAACTCCAGTTCCAGGGGATATGCATGTGCATGCAGGCAAAATACCCATGCACATAAAATAAACTAAAAGAAAAAAGAAAATAAAGTGCAGAGAACTCAGGGCACTTCAGTTGTGGGCAACAGCACTGAGCTACATGCTGGAACTTCTAGGTTTCTTCCTCTAGACCCCTGTGGTCTGTTACCTCTGCCCTTCGATCCCTGCTGTAGAAAACCTGCTCCCTGGAGGGGCGCTTCCTGAAGTTTACAAAGCCAGCTGCCAGTTGGTTGGGCCTGTGTTTTCTGCCCTTCCTCTGACATCTCCTGTGCTCCCAGCCTGAGAAAGCAGAGACTGGAGGAAGAGCGGCAGCGGCAGGAGGAAGCGGAGAGGAAGCGGAGGCTCCAGCTGCAGGCGGCGCAGGAGAGAGCCCGGCATCTGCAGGAGGAGCTCCGGAGGAAAATGCAAGAACTGCAGAGGAAAAAGCAGCAGGAGGAGTTGGAGAGGGCTGGTGAGAGAATTCCCGAGCTTTCTGTATCTCCCGTCTCCTGGACCAAAAATATTTTCAACCCACCGTGACCACTCTTTTATTCCCATCCCAGGCCCCGGTGCACAGAGCATTCCACTTGTGTAAGCTTTTATTTCCCCCCCCAGAATGGTAATTACGTCTGACTATAGAGGGTTGATAAAAGGATGGAATATGAACGGAGGACTCTTGTGGAGGGATTGCAGGGTCGGACTTCTGGTTCAGTCACTGCCCCTGTCAGCATTGCTCAAGAGCTGCCCACACCGCTCTCCTTGCCCCCTTCCTCTGGCAGGCAGAGACAGCGGCAGATATCTGGAGAGCCTCGGGCCACACCTTCCTTCCGGTGTGGAGCAGAGAATCTTCCAGCAGACCTTTGCGGACGAGCTGGCAAGTTCAGCAGACGATGCTGTGGTCCATTCCTGGTCCGTACTCTTTAGACTAGTCGGTCTAGTCAAGTAGGAAGTTTCTCTTGACCCTGGTCTGCCGCTCCTCCCCTCCCTCACAGCTGCACACTACCCCACGAACTCAACCGTCCGGGCAAGTCTTCCGCCAGAGGACTTGGGTTAGCAACCCACAGAGGCTCTGGAAGATTAGAAGGGTGGAGCAGCGATATCAACTGCTCCAGTGGTGCCCCCTGCTGAGCCGGCCTCTTTCTGCTCTGCAGAGGCCGAGAAGCAACGGCAGAAGGAACTGGAAGTGCAGTTCGCAGAAGAACAGAAACGCCTGATGGAAATGGCAGAGGAAGAGCGGCTGGAGTACCAGAGGCAGACACAAGAAGCAGAAGAGAAGGCTCGGCGGGAGGCTGAGGCGAGGAGGCAAGAGGAAGAGGCAGCAGCCAGGCTGGCGCTGGAGGAAGCCGTGAAGCTTGCGCAGGAGCAAGCCAGGTACTGGCGAGCTGGGCACAGCTGCGGGTCGGTCGGTCGGGGTGTTCAGAGGCGTGCCCGCCTGGTGCCGGCGCTCACCTGGCACTGCCTTCAACAAGCAGTTCTCTCAGCCCTGCAGCAGGGCTAGAAAGACTGAAAAGCACAAAGGGCCATTCTTCTGCTCAGACATCGCAGGATTCGGTCATGGCTTATCACAGAACTTGTCTTGAAGCTAGACGGGAATTTAAGAGATCGTTTATCTTGATCTTCTGGTTTACAGATAAGTGAATCCCATTTAAAAAAAAAAAAAAGTGAGCCGGGGGTGGGGGTGGTGCACGCCTTTAATCCCAGCACTCGGGAGGCAGAGCCAGGCGGATCTCTGTGAGTTCGAGGCCAGCCTGGTCTACACAGTGAGTTCCAGGACAGGCTCCAAAGCTACACAGAGAAACCCTGCCTCGAAAAACCGGAGAAAAAGGAAAAAAGTGAATCCCAGGGCTAGTGTGCAGCAGTTTGGTAGAATATTCAAATTATGCCCTGAGTTCAACTCCTCAGTAAAAGAGGAGCAAGATCTCCATCAGGACCAATTGTGAGTTATGGCCAATACCGAGATACATTATGCAAATTGTAGACTCTAGGAATTCAGAAGTATGGAGAGATATTGAAAAAGACAATGTTTTTGGTTATTTTTTTAAAGATTTATTTATTCATATATTTTATATATACACCAGAATAAGGAATCTGATCCCATTACAGATGGTTGTGAGCCACCATGTGGTTGCTGGGAATTGAATTCAGGACCTCTGGAAGAGCAATCAATGCTCTTAAACACTAAGCCATCTCTCCAGTCCCTTGCTTTGGTTTTTTGAGACAAGGTTTCTCTGTGTAACAGTCCTGGCTGTCTTGGAACTCACTCTGTAGACTAGGCTGGCCTCCAACTCAGAGATCTATACCTACCTCTACTCCTAGGAGTGCTGAGACTAAACGCATGCACCACCATGCCTGGCCATGTTTTTGTTTTGTTTTGTTTTGTTTTAACCTAGCTACAAATGCTATGCAGAAAAACTTTAAAGATGTGACAGGAAGCTTAGTTTAGATTGGTGACCCAGCAAGACCTCTCACAAGGGATGTCATAAAGGGTGAGATTGTGGACCTGTATTTCAGGAAACAACAGTAAACAGTGTGTGAGGGAAGAAATGAGACTGACATGTTGAATAAATAAAAGCTCAGCATTGCTGGATGAGGGTGAAAAATTGTGCTTTGGATGAAGTCAGGGAGGTAGGACCAAGACTGGAAGAAACTACAAAGTAAGTTACCTAGGGCCAAGAGCATTTTTGATCCTTCACAACCATAAAAACTGAAAGGTGAGCTGGGTGTGGTAGCACAGGCCTAGAATCCAGCACTTGGGAGGCAACAGCAGAAGGGATCTTGGAAGGCTACTGGGAGAGCTGCAGTCAGATTCTGTCTTAAAACAGACAGAAGAGGTACAACCTGGAAAATCAGGTTCTCAACATTAAATCTAAACACTCCCCCCTTGAGTTATAATGTTCCACAAATTAAATTGAACCTATAATCCTCTTTAAGAGGTCCAGAAAGAGAAGGCACCAGAACTCTCAAGACTTCATTAACCTCTAGTTGTTCCCTCCCTGGACTCTGTTCAGCTGTTAGGGGAATCACAAAGTAGGTTATTAGGAAAGTCCTAATTCAGCTTCAACAGTCTAGACATCATGTGCCATAATAGTAGTAATGAGACAAAAGCAAGCTACTAGAAGCCCAACTTTCCAAGAGAAACTGACAGTCATCATTGAGGTACTAGAGCGATTATGTAAAACCAACACAGGTAGCTGAGACAGGAAACCAAGGAAGGAATGGGTAATCTCACTCCTCCAAGGACTAGAACTCAGTGCCGACTGGCTTTACTTCATCTGGGACAGCTACTCTTGTACTTTCACTGTCCTGTCTCCTCAATTCTAAAGCAAGGGAATCCACTTTAATTCCAGCATTCAGGAAGCAGAGGCAAGCAGATCTGTGAGTTTGCAGGCCAGCCTGGTCTAAATTTCAAGTTCCAGGACAGCCAGGGCTACACAGGGAGACCCTATCTAAAAAACAAAACAAAACAAAAACAAAAACAAAACAAACTAAATAAAGCAAGCAAACAAGTAAAACAATCCCTTCCAGCAACCCAAGTTTAAGACCTGGGATTTACCTCCTTCCTTCTTACTTTTCTGGTAGGAATCCCATGATGCCTCTCGTGTAAAGGCACTAAATGAAGAGTATGATCTCCACTAAAACCTGCAACCAATAGCCCAAATCTGGTAATCATACAACCCAAATCCAAAACTCTACTGAATGCTTAATCATTTTTGGAATTGGGGGTGGGGTTGTCTCCTTAGGCAAAAAGCTGCTTTGGAGAAACACCTTCATTTTCAACAAGAACTCTTAAAGGAAGCCAGTGGTCTGCAGTGGACACAAAGCATTTCCAGACCGTGGGTCTACTCATACTTCCAGTTCCTGAGAATCCCCAAGCCGTAAGGCTAGAAGAAAGCAAAACAGTAAGTTGAGAAATGGTGGCAGAAGTTATACTTCTATAATAAAGCTCCAGCCTGAGCTCACTTAGCTCCATTTTATCTGACTTACCTCAACCCATACCTCCCACTTTCTTTACCCTGAAACCTATTCCCAGCATTCCTGCACACTCCACACACCCAGTTAACTTTTCACTTACTTAAATCCTGTTGTGTTCTTTTAGGACCACATTAAGTTCAAGAGCCTTGATGCCTAAACTACAATTCCACAGTTCCAGTTGGAGACACTAACACTAGTCTCCAACATAGGATGCTCTATGTACTTCAATGTGTTCAAGAGTTGATGGTGAATGGAAATTCTGTCATGCAATAACTCTGGATTAGCTAAGAAGAGCTAATAATATATTAAGAAATCACTCTAGAAGACAAAACCACAATTTCATCCTTGGAATCTAAAACAAACATCTTAGAAGGCAGGCATGTCTGGAATCACTTAATACAGGTTTACATGAGCAAAATGAGCTCTTTCAGGAGGAAATTCTCCCAATCCTCAAAGCACAGATCTAGAGCAGCATGTTTGAATGAACATGTAGCTGTTACAGCTAGAACATTCATCCCCCATACTAGCCACAGTCAAATGCTCAATGGCCAAAGGTAGTCCTTGGAGGCTATATCAGCAAAGAAATAGAACTATCACCTCAGAATTTCACTATTTTTGATTCTTGAGAACAAATCTTGAGGTTTTATTCCCAACTCTGCCTTGAAGCTACTCATAAAACTCTAAGACTGATATCAGAAGTCTTAAGTCATTCAATGACTCTTTTAATGTCTATAAATAAATATCCCTTTTAACAAAACATCACAAGCGGTGGTGGCAGGTGTCTTTAATCCCAGCACTAGCACATGAGAAGCAGAGGCAAGTGGATCCCTGAGTTCAAGGCCAGCCTGGTCTTCAGAGCTAGTTCCATGACAGCCAAGGCTATACAACCCCCATCATCTCACTGAGAGGTGTTGGCACACACCTTTAATCTCAGCACTGGTGAGGCAGAGGCAGGTGGATCTCTGTGAGTTTCAGACCAGTTTGTTACACATAGAAACCCTGTCTCAAACAAAAATGCATCACAGAATGTTAAGAGAAATTGTTAGAAACAACATAAAAGGATGTTATATCAAGCAGTATCTGAATTTTCCCAACTTAAAAAAAAATTTTATTTCATGTGCATTAGTGTTTTTGCCTGCATGTCTATCTGTATGTACGAGGGTGTCAGGCCTCCTGGAAATGGAGTTACAGACAGTTGTGAGCTGCCATGTGAGTGCTGGGAATTGAACTCGGGTCCTCTGGAAGAGCAGTCAGTCCTCTTAACCACTGAGCCATCTCCCCAGCCCAGTTTTTAATCCACACTTGTCTTAGTTTTCTCATTACTGCAACAAAACTACACACACTTTTTTTATAGCCGGGCGGTGGTGGCGCACGCCTTTAATCCCAGCACTCGGGAGGCAGAGCCAGGCGGATCTCTGTGAGTTCGAGGCCAGCCTGGTCTCCAAAGCGAGTTCCAGGAAAGGCGCAAAGCTACACAGAGAAACCCTGTCTCGAAAAAACCAAAAAAAAAAAAAAAAAAAAAAAAAAAAAAAACTACACACACCCCCAAAAACACCTTAAAGAGTTAAGTAGTTGGTCACCCTGCACCAGTAGTCAGAGATGAATGCTGGCACTTATCTCATTTTATCCTTTTATTTCAGTCCTGGACCCACAGAATGGCAGTACCCCCCACCCAGGGTAGGAATCCCCACTTCAAATCTTTCTGGACACACACCCAAAGGTCTTTCCAGAGTGACTTTAAACCCAGGCAAATTGACAATGACGTCTTAATCATCACACTGTCCACAAGTAAAGAACAGTATTTAGAGGTGATTCCCCACTAATACTCACAGGTTTTTGCTTTGTACAGGGATTACATTTCTCCAGTCTAGAAATTTAGCTAATTTTTCTATTCTATACTGCAGGAATTGAGTAACTCCTTGTTTCATGTAAAATAGAAATAAAATGGCCAAACCACTATGGTTAAGATCATAGTAAATTTAAATGTCATTGTTTTTCTGATGCTGGTCAACCCTACTTGCAAATTCAACAGTACTTAACTAATCAACATACACTCACGAGTAAACATGCAAGGAAACCGTTACTGCTTTTTTTTTTTTCTCCCTTTTGCAAATTTAGGCTGCTGCACTCCAGATAGAGTGGCTACTAAATACCGCTTGGGGTCTTTCCAAATATCTATTAAACTTTTACTTCCAAGTGTCTATTTGAACAACATTATTATAGCAGTTGAGCATTTTTTTTAGGCCAACAGTAGAGTGTAGTTACTTTAGAAGACCTTCCCCAAAACCCCTAAAACAAAAACTATTTCTACAATTATGCTCCACCACTAAATGTTGAATCTTCATTTAGAGATTCAAAAATTAAGATGAATTACATATTCATGAATTTTGAACAGCTCAAATAACCAATCAAATATGTTATTTGATCTTGACAAATGCTGCAACTCAAAGATTTTCTACAACCGAACCTAATTTCCAGTTACTATTTAAGGAACGTAACAATTTAAGGAACTGCCAGGGGACAGTCTAAAAGCTCCAATTTGTACAATACAAATAATTTTAAAGTTAGGGTCAAATATAAGTTTCAGGCAATCTACTTTTTAAGCAAGTTACCTGAGAAAGGTAATAAGCTGTTAACACTTTATAAAATGCACCTGAGATAGGTTTATTTGCTAAAGTAGCCAGACGGCACTGTATTTAGAATAACATGAAACTGGATGTGTACATACATGTAATTCTGTGATTCGCTGGGATTTTAAAAGGAAAAAAAAACAACAGTAATGGTATCATGTGCACCCTCTAAGAATAGCACAATCTAAAAAGACATTAAAAAGGCCTTGTGACATAACTAAACACTTGATTCAGAAGGCACCCCAGTAACTCCCATTGCTTCAAAGTCACTAAGGTCATTACTGTACAGTACTAAAGAAATACTCAAGCAAGAAAATCCTATCTGGGGCATTTCTCCCTAGAAAACTAAAATGAAAGGAGCTCTAGTACGGTTTTTACAAATATTGTTTATTTTAATGAAGCTGGTACAGACGATGTCCCTTGAAAACCCATGTCCCAGGCCAAAAAGTACAAACAGAATCAAAAGGAGCAGTGTCTGTTGCATACCCTTCTGCATGAGTAACTTTATCACTCACTGCTGATGGAAATGACAGCTTCCCCGGGCTCTTCAGACGCCTGTCGTACTCTTAGGACGCTTTCTCTCTCTCCAGTGAAGCCATCTTTGGAGTTAGTTGTTACTCTCACTGTATCTGTTATCTTGACTACAAACGTGATATTCTTCTTTTGGTCCAGACCCTCAGATTTTAAAAGTAGATTCAAGCCGAGGAAAGGTCATTTTCCCACAGTTCAGTTCTCTGAAAGACTTCCATCTCCCACTGAAAATCACAGTCCAGGAGTGAAGCAACCACATGCTAGAACTTCAGGGCCAACTGGAAGGTCCCAGGAAAGCTCCCACTGGTCGCTCTTTTTATCGTCACAAACCTGAAAATGCACAGTCCTGAAAAGAGTGGCCTCTCTGTGCACACATGAATTCTTTTAAAACAAGAAGGGCAATATTAAGGGATCTGAGGTCTGATCACCAAAAATCAGCACAACAAAAACAACCAATAATGAATATTGAACACTAGAATTCAGATTACCAGATGTTCTAAAGAGATGGAGTGCCAGTATTCAATTTTCATTTTGAACACCACATTACAAAAGAACTATTTTCAAAAATAAAAAAGGATTGAGGGAAAAGGAAAAAAAATAAAAAGAATTATCTAAACCCTCGAATGACCCCCCGTTTGTTCCTGATAAACTTCAATCACATCTTCTTCCTCCATTCCAAGCTGAAAGAAAAGAGAAATATGTTAACACTAAACTATAAAAGCAACATTTTTACATTGGCTGCAATTATGTGGTCACTACTTTAAAGTACAAGAAGATACAAGTATCATCTGTAATTAATAACCCTCTAAGGCTTGGAAATGGAAGTAAGAGGGTAAGAAGGAGTTCAAGGCCATCAGTAAGTTCCAAGCCAGCCTGGGCTATGAGATTGTCTCAAAAAACTGGAAGAAGCCGGGCATGGTGGTGCATGCCATTAATCTCAGCACTCTGGAGCCAGGAGGCAGGCAAACAGATCTCTGTGAGTTTGAGGCAAGCCTGCTCTACATAGTGAATTCCAGGACAGCCATGGCTATGTAGAGAGACCCCGTCTCAAAACAAAAACAAGGCCAGGCGGTGGTGGCGCACACCAGGTGGATCTCTGTGAGTTCCCAGGCCAGCCTGGTCTACAGAGCGAGATCCAGCCAGGACAGGCACCAAAGCTACACAGCAAATATCACCCCCCCCCCCCCGCCCCACCCCCCCACCCCTGCCTTGGAAAAAAAAAAAAGATTTGTTTTCAGCTGGGTGGTGGTAGCCCACACCTTTAATCCCAGCACTCAGGAGGGGGAGGCAGAGGCAGGAGGATCTCTGTGAGTTTGAGGCCACCCTGGTGTACAGATCAAGTTCCAGGACAGCTAAGGCTATTACACAGAGAAACTCTGTCTCAAAAAACCAAACCAAACCAAAGATATATCCCTTGGATCTGGAGTTACAGATGATACATTATGTGGTGCTGGGAACTGAAACCAGGTCCTCTGTATGAACAAGTATTCTTAACCTCCGAGACCCAAGGAAAAAAATTTTTTTTGTCCCCAGGTTGTTGCAATAGGCTTTGGACCTACCACCCTCAGGATGCCCATGGTAGAGAAATGACTCCCACATATGCATCATGACCCTTATGAACATGTGAACATACACGTAATAAATATAAATTTTAAAAACTGTTCCTTCTTTTCCTTTTATTTTGGCGCCAGGGATCAAATTCTGGGACACTTGCATACTAAGTACATGCTCCATCTCTGAGCTATAATCCTAACCCTTTCAATCCAAAATCTTACTTATTTCAAGTCTGACTCAGAAAAGAAATCATACTTACTTCTTTTGGAGTA